TATAAGTGAATTTTTATCATAGCAGTAACTGTAAATCAAATGTAATCTAGCTAATACAGCCCTACTATCTCAAATGAGTTAATGTGTTCCTCTTATCAGTTAAAATGTAGTCTGATTTCTATTATTTATTTTCATTTTTAATTCAGTGGTTTTAACTTTTAATTTAGTGTTTTTAATGCTTTAAAGAGCAATTTTAGATTGTAATGTTTTAATGTTCTACTAATAACCATAAAGTACAGCTGTCATAAAACCAGAGAGAAAGGCTGCATGGGCTAGAAACTGCTGATCAACTGAATGTGAAAGTGGCAACTATGTTAAAATGTTTTCATATATCTTAAAAAAAAAAGGTCATTACATTTTGGGCACAATACCTTAGTTGGTTGTAGCCTATTTTTTAAATTTATTTAATTATTTAAGTTGCATTTTTCTGTATACTTTTATTTTTGGACTAATAATAAAGTCAGCTAGTTGTATGTGAGAGAGTCAGCGCTGTAATATCAATGCGTTCCTATTGGTCAGTGTTAGAGAAGCTCAGCTTAGCCTGACAGTTAGCCTGCTCCACAGGTTAGCTTTCCAGCATAAGTTGCCACAGTGACTGAGCCTGAGCTATGGTAATTTTGATTTATGAAACCAAATCAAGTGAAAATAAGTCAGACTAACTGAAATAAGCCTGGCTTATTTGGTAAACTTGTTTTATGAAACAGCCCCCTGGTTATGTTAGTTTAGGGAGTTAGTTTAGCCTGTTGTATTTTCCGTTTCTTTTCTTTGAAGCGTAGCTAGTTAATTGTGAAAGAGTTAGTTTGTTATTGTGGCCTTGCCCCCTTCTGAAATTGATACCCTTTTGTTATTATTTTCTCTCTCTCTGAATTATGTTAATAAAACTACTCTATTTTGGTTCTAACTCATCCTGGTTGTTTGGATTATTGTAGCCATTCTGGCTCTGGAGATGGGGTTTCCTCTGCCGTTGCACATCCACTCACCGCCAACTATTTATTTGTGTTGCGATCTCCCCTAGACTAATCTAGACTAGTGATGGCGAAATGAAGCCTCGTGGAGCTACGAGGCTTTCCTCTAACTGGTCCAAGAAAATAGTCTCGGAGTATCGATTACAGTGCCATCTAGTAGATCATAAAATGTACAACATCCGTATCTGGGATGAAGCTTCACTGGATGAAACACCAACCTCTTTGATGTAATTTTACTATGTAGTGCACAAATAAAAATCATAAGCTGTTAATATTTATGTACCATAATGTGGTAATTTGTAGTAATATGAGTCAATGTATTACAATAAAATACTGTTTAGGCATGTTGTGGGTGCCCACAGTAAGTGAGCAATTGATGAATTATGACTACAACGCCTGTATATGACATGTATTTGACATACAATTATCTGTATAGTAATAACATTGTATTATTTCTTTATCTAGTATAGGAGAATATATAAATTTAACTTCAAAGAATTTGGAAAATTGGAGGGGGGGGGGGTTATTAAATGTGCTTGTGTAACTGGGTGAAAAAAGGGATATTTTACTGATTTTTATTGAGAAATATATACAGTGCTGTGAAAAGGTTTTTGCCCCCTTCCTGTTTTTTTTTGTTACCATTGCCATGCATTATACGACTGATAGACTGCAACGGTTAAAGTTAAAAATCATCAAATGTGTTCTACTGAAGAAACAAAGTCACCTACATCTTGGATGCCCTGGTGGGGGTAAGCAGATAAACATCACATTTTCATTTTTGGGTGAACTATCCCTTTAAGAATGCTGCGAGCTCGATGTAGACAGCGTTTCCTCTGGATGTCCTCAATAGCAGGAAGTGGTGTTTACAGTGTTAGGGCAGAGCCTATTTCTCCTCTTGGACAATATTTCCCCTGCCTTTGAGAACACTCTCTCACAGGGTACAGAGGAGGCTGGTGTACACAAAAACTGCAGTGCCATCAGATATAGATGGGGGAACACATGTTTTTGTTCTTTCCAGTATTCAAGCGGATCATGGGTTCTTGGTATGTTAGTTTCCTTTAGGTATCGGTCAACCTCTATTACTGCATCAGCTGTGGCATTACCGTTTTTTTTACTCTGGTCCACAGCACTATCTAGCAGGTGCCAGAAGTTTCCACCTAAACAATTTGAAGTAGAAAAAAAATGTAAATATGACTGCAAATGTGAATGCATCACACACTAATTTTTATGTCATGAAATATTCACAAAAGTTTTTTTTCCAAAATAAATAAAAATATGCACTTGAACTAGTTGCCTGTTGAGATGATGTTTCTGTTGACTGAGTGCTTGACGTTGATGGGGTTTGTTCTTGGGCTCTGATGATGGTGGCACATTCCCCTTTTAGCCTTCTAACAGCTTCAGTCATTGTATTTTGATTGAGCAACCCAAAGGTTTTAAACCTTGTGTCCAGCAAGGTTGCCATGGTCATTACACTCATAGACTCTATATTCCATATATGTTCTCTCAGGCGTCTGGTCAGGTCTTCTGTCAGTTCTTTTGTAATGTCCATTAACCTAATCAATTTAAAATGGCTTGGTCACATTTGCAATATGAACATCAATATGAATGTTTTAACTGCTGAATAAATATACAAAATAAACACCTGATTTGTTCTCCCTGTAAGAATGGTGTATCATTTTCATCAGTGGAATGACTTTTGAACCTGACACATGTTTCTCCTCAGACAGTTCTACCGTAGCCTGCTGGAACGGCGAGAGCACACGGAGGACTGCCTCTATTGCTTCATACTGCTGTGGATGAAGGAGTGATGTCTGTCCTGAGAGAGGCTAGGGATGCCCCCACTGCTTGCCTTTCTTCATATAGGCGTTGAAGCATCTGAAAAGTGCTGTTCCACTTTTTTTTACACAGTTTAAGTGCAGGTCTGCGCCTTTCTTGCTGCATCTGTGTCAGCTTGCTGGATCTGAAATAGGTGACCATTTTCTTTGCCTTGGTGCGGCTGTCAAAGAGGGCAGAAACTTGGTCGAACGATTTTTTAACCATTAAATTAAGTGCATGTGCAATGCAGATTGTGTGCCTCACTTGTAGAGTCTTTGCACAAGCAGGGCTATATTTTCAGCTGTGTGGTTATCTGGAAACTTCTCTACCCCCAGCAAGACAGTGGTGAGCTTATCATTCCCATCAATGTAGTGGCAGGTTATGGCCAAGTAAGCGTCCATGTTAAGTGATGTCCACATATCTGAAGTTAAAGACACAGCCTTGACATTTTCCATTTCAGCTTTGGCAGAGTGAGGCCCCTCACTCCACAATGAATCCTTTCAATTAGCCTATGCCTTCACTTTTTCTATTCTCTTATTCTCCTTTATCTCTTCCTGTCCTATAGCTTTACTATTTTGAGCAAAGACTGAAAGCTTGTATAACGGGCACTTCTCCTGTTTATTGCCATCTTATGATAAATAGATTTTTTTAAGTATTTACAGTTGAAAAGTTACATGTCATCAATAGAAGAACAGATAATCTGTATACCATCTTTATCAAAATTAGAGGAAATAACTTAGATACGTGACCCTTACCTTCCAAATTTCCGTGTACTATAATTTAATGATGAAACACAGTACTGTATCAACATTAGACAAATTAAATGCCTGGAAAATGGATTTACAGGAATATATAGATGAGGCAGACTGGAACTATGCATGTCTTAAAGCACACAGACAATAAATACAAGGTTTAAATTACTTCAATATAAATGGTTAATGAGAATTGCATTAGGTTTGAAGAGTATGGATGCTCCATCTATGAAAATGTGGACAAAGGAGTTATCGAACTGTATTGGACTGGAAAGGCTAACTTACATTGCTAAGGGGAGACGGAAAGACTTTGATCGGCTATGGGAGCCATACATAAATATTATGTAAAATGGAAATGTAGACCTTACTGAAAAAGACATTGTTAACACTGTCTGTAGCAAATTTATTTATTTTTTACTTTTAGAAATATTTACTTATTTATTTTATTATTATATTTTTTATTATTATTTTTTTATTTTTTTATGCATTTCTTTTTAAGAAATGTAAATTGAATGTGTGTAAGTGAAAGCGTGTATGCTTGTGTACTTATTCTGGTGTTCCATAGGCTATTTTGTTAGTCAAGTCAAGTCAAGTCACCTTTATTTATATAGCGCTTTTAACAATACAGATTGTGTCAAAGCAGCTTTACAGTATCAAAATAGGAAAATACTGTGTCAATAATGCAAAGTGACAATAGTAAACACTCAATTTTCTTTGTGGCTCATCTAGTTGTCCTGATCTCCGCTGACATTCAGGGCTATAGAGGTCCTCTCTAGGTGCTGATTCACCATCTGGTCTGAATATGTACTGGATTCGGGTGACTGCAGTGACCATCTGATCTGGATACAGACTGGATCTGGTGGCTACAGTGACCTTGGAATAAGAAAGAAACAGACTAATATTAGCGTAGATGCCATTCTTCTTACGACGTAACAAGTACATTGGGTTTTATGGGGAGTGTTCCCAGTTCCGATTGACCTAATTAATGCAGCCTAACAATCCTTTAACGGATCTGAATATTAGAAGCGTATTAGTGTGTTATGTGTAAGCCAGGTTAAAGAGATGGGTCTTTAATCTAGATTTAAACTGACAGAGTGTGTCTGCCTCCCGAACAATGTTAGGTAGGTTATTCCAGAGTTTGGGCACTAAATAGGAAAAGGATCTGCCGCCCGCAGTTGATTTTGATATTCTAGGTATTATCAAATTGCCAGAGTTTTGAGAACGCAGCGGACGTGGAGGACTATAATGTAACAAGAGCTCGTTCAAATACTGAGGTGCTAAACCATTCAGGGCTTTATAAGTAATAAGCAAGATTTTAAAATCTATACAATGTTTAATAGGTAGCCAGTGCTTCTGTGGGCGGAGTACGCCCAGAACTCCCTAAGACAATCCACCACAGGGATCACCCTGTTCCAATGTATCCTTTGGTACCAATCTCAGTTATTCCCCTGGTCAGGTGAGCCCTCGGAGGTTCCAGCTGTCAACCACTGGTGGGAAGTGGGGGGGGGTGAAAGTTGCGTGTGTGAACCTGCGTCTACAAGCAATGAGGCTTAGTTACTTCAAAAACAGTGATTTTACTGGTTGCAGGAGTGATTGACGTGCTGCTTCAATGAGGTCGGCCGGAATTGCAGATGAAGTGGCAGATGTGGAGGGCTGGAGAGACAGATGAACAGCGTTAACCAGGTCAGCGAAAGGATCGGTGGGGTGATCCCCGCCAGTATCCGTGGAGCTCTGCATTTGGTCTGGTCTTCTGTCACACAACAGAAGGATGCAGACCCCCTCCTCCACGGTCGGCTCCTGACGGCCGGATGGGGCGATGACGACGGGGCCTACCTCGACCCCTGGGAGCTGGGCGATCTGGGTGTTCAGCGTGGTATTGTGTGAGAAGCGCTGGATAGAGGATGTCATGACAAGCGACCCAAGAGCGTTCCTCAGGACCGTAGTCCTCCCAGTTGATGAGGTACTCCAGTTTGGGGCCCCGCCGCCACGAGTCAAGGATGGCCCGGACCCAGTAGATGGCTTCCTCATCTGTGATTTCGGGAGGAGGAGGTACCTCATCGCCGCCAGATTCTGTGGGGGAAGACAACATGGAAAGATGGTGAGATGCGGTAGTGAGGTGGAAGGTTTAGCCTGTAGGTGACTTCGTTGAGCTGCCTCCGCACAGTGAATGGACCTATGTACCAGGGACTCAGTTTACGGCAAGGCAGGCGGAGACGGATGTCTCGTGTCGAGAGCCATACCTTCTGGCCTGGATGGTAGTGAGGGGTCGGTGTTCTTCGGGTGTCAGCTTGCCTCTTGTGTCTCCGCACTGCCCGTTGGAGATGCACATGAGCTGAGTCTCAAAGCGGGTTTAGGGAGAGAGCATGCTGTGATACTTTGAGAATATTTGTTATGGCGTCCTAGTTAGGGGAGTGTATATAAAGGCGTGAAGCAAAATAGAAGGGTGTTGCGTCATACTCAGCTGATCGCATTTCTGGAGTTTCATTGCGTTGCATGAGGGGTATGTATAGGTGTTTTCCATCTAGGTTGTCGGTGTTGTAGACTTTAATAGTGACTTTAACTGTTTGTTGTCTGCTACTAGTAATCTTTGTGAAGCTGGCGTTTGTTCGGGGCGCATGTTGCACCCATATATGGGCGATCGCTGGTCCTCTGCTGTTGTGTTTCTCTGCATTTGAGAATTGCGGGTGACGCCTGCTTGGGTGATTGCTGCTGCCTGTATGCGATCTATTATTCAATTCAATTCAAATGTACAACCCACTCTTGTCTCTCTAGCCCGCATAAAGGCGTGTTGGTTTGGGTTATAACTTTTTCTGTGTCCTAGGTGTTTAAACCATCCTGTGAGCGTGCCTGCTTTTGTGCTCCTGGCTCTGCATGGCTTATAACAGGGACTACAGCATGGCTTGCAATTTCAACACTGCTGTTTTGCTTTTGTATAATGTTTAATTCATCTGTTTTGCTTTAATGTATGTTTTGCACTTAAGTCCTGTGTTTGTAGTCAGTTTATTTGGTTGGCTTGCATTTATTAATTTTTGTTTTAAACGTATGTTTTTCATTTAAGTTTTGGTGTTTGCAGTTAATTCATTTGTTTGGTTTGCATTCACTACTTTAAATTTGCATTTAATCCTTTTGTTTGCAACTAAGCTTGTTGCATTATTAATGTTTGTTTTGCAGTCAAGCACTTTGTTTGGTATTTAATTTTTTTCTTTCTTTATTACTTTTGTTTTCTGGCAACAAGTTTGCTTGTGTTTCTCGTGGTTTGATTGTCTGTTTAATTTCCTTCTCTTTTTGTCTTTTGTGGGAGCTGGGGGCTCGGAGAAGTCAGGCTGGCTGTTCCTGTGCAGAAATAGCTCTTTTCACCAAAGTGGTGTGGATTTGCAGTGAATTTCCTGGGGTGTGTAAGTGTGGTTTTGTGCACGTGTGGGTATTCAGTAGTGCGGGCCCTATTGAAGCCCGGTGTCTAGCCGCCTCCCTATTGCGAAGCCCTTGCTCTTTTTTGGGGGGGCTTTTGTTTTGTATGTATTTCATGGCAGCTTGTTGCACTTGATGTGCATAATCTTCTTTTTTTTACTGAACAAGGATTCATTTTAATTGAGCAATTGTTTAATAAAGATTTGTTACTTTTATACAAGGTATTCGTGTCTCTGGGTCATTTTGTGAGAAGGTGAACCTGTGGGCCTGTGGGTCTTTCCCGGGTGTTAATCCCCGGGTGGCGTAGTCGCGATTGTGTGAATTAGTAGAATAGTTTCAAAGTTGAGTAATTTCTTTAACCCTTTATAACGTTGCCGCCCGTCACATTAAGATGATTTAAAGTAGCCTACGTATAGTTTGTTGAAGCATATTTGTCATACTATCTACACTACACAATATGTTAAATTGAGAGTGTGTGTGTGTGTGTGTAGGAGAGACAGCAGGGTTTGCTGACGATCATAAACAAAAGCTCGTAACATGACGGTGATCAGAGGAATCACAATCAGCAGTGACTCAGTTACTCATTAAAAACACTGACGGTGTGAAACCGTCGTTAGAGACAGACTTATAATAAATGAAACGGCAGACACAACTAAAGGAAGAATGATTTCTGTGTGTTTTATCAGTATCTGGAGTCAGAGATCTTCATCTGCAGATCCCAGCTGTGTGTCTCTGAAGAGTGACAAATCAATGGATGCTTCTCCTAATTTCAGTAATGAACCAGTGACCTCTGACCCCAGGTGAGGATGAATATGTGGTGGTGGTTTAACTGATCTAGTGAATCTAGGAGCCAATTAATATGAGTGTTAAAAACAGAGAAATGAAATGCATGTGTAAATTAATATTAGTGCTGTGCTTCACTCTGAAATGCAGAACATCAGACTGTATACCTTTTGGCAATTTGGTAAGCACAAAAAGCCATATTGCGATTTTCAGATTTTAGTTTGTTTTTCAATGCTTGGACAACAAAAACAATAGCACAAAATAGCACAGCTTTAGAGACCATTTATGTTATTATGAGAAGTGTAAAATATTTTTGGTTCATTATGAAAAAGGCGAAAAAGATTAGTCCTTAATGGGAAACACTGGATATAAGAAAATTATTGACTAACAGAACCTGTGATGTCAGCTTGAGTTTTATTCATAATTGTATTGTCTTTTTGTTGTTGTTTCAGCAGAGTGGATGGAGTCTCGCGCTTACAGTTTGGACCCTCTGCCTCTTGTCCGACCAGCAGCTTCACCCCCATTAGAGCGTCCCTGAATAGATGCACCCGATCAGTGAATGCTGAACTACTGAGAGTCAAAGAGCAGCACAAAACCAGCATGAGGAGCAAGTATGAGAGATTATTTGAGGGACTGAAACTCCAGGAGAATGAAAGCCTCCTGAACAGGATCTACACACAGCTCTACGTCATAGAGGGAGAGAGAGAAGGAGTGAATGAAGAACATGAGGTTTTGCAGATGGAGAAAACAGCCAGAACACAAGACACTCCAATCTACTGCAATGACATCTTTAAAGCCTCAGCTGAAGCAGGATCTGAGGAGAAAGAGCAGATCAAGACTGTTCTTACTAAAGGCATCGCTGGAATCGGAAAAACCGTCTCTGTGCAGAAGTTCATTCTGGACTGGGCCGAGGGAAAAGCCCATCAGGATGTAGATTTCATGTTTGTGCTTCCATTTCGAGAGCTGAACTTGATCCGAGATCATCAGTACAGTCTTCACAGACTTCTGCTGGACTTTCATCCTGAACTTCAAGATCTGGACTCACAGATTTATGAGGAGTGTAAAGTTGTGTTCATCTTTGATGGTCTGGATGAAAGCAGAATCACACTGATGTTTTCAGACGCTCAGAAAGTTTGTGATGTGACTGAGACTTCATCAGTGGCTGTGTTGATGTCAAACCTCATGAAAGGAGAGCTGCTTCCCTCTGCTCTCATCTGGATCACCTCCAGACCAGCAGCAGCCAATCAGATCCCCTCCAAATACATCCACCGTCTGACAGAAATTCAGGGATTCAGTGAGCGTCAGAAGGAGGGATATTTCAGGAAGAGAATCAGTGACCAGCATCAAGCCAGCAGAATCATCTCACACATCAGAAGAGCAAGAAGCCTTCATATCATGTGCCACATCCCCGTCTTCTGCTGGATTTCATCCACTGTGCTTCAGAAGCTCCTGGAAGAAGATCTGAGTGCAGAAATCCCTCAAACTCTGACTGAAATGTACATCCACTTCCTACTGATTCAGATCAACATGAGGAACCAGAAGTATGAAGAGAGAGATCCAGAGAAACTCCTGCAGTCCAACAGAGAAGTGATTGTGAAACTTGCTGAAGTGGCTTTCAAACAGCTGATGAAGGGCAATGTGATGTTCTACGAGGAGGACCTGATTGAGAGCGGCATAGACCTCACTGACGCCTCAGTGTATTCTGGGATTTGCACTGAGATCTTTAAGCAGGAATCTGTGATTCATCAGAGGAAAGTCTACAGCTTCATTCATCTGAGCATTCAGGAGTTTCTTGCTGCTTTCTATGTTTTTTACTTTCATGTGAGTACAACTATGGAGGAATTGAAGAATTTAGCTTCAGTACAATATTTGCTTAAAGGTGTAGTAGATGAATCACTTCAGAGCAGAGATGGCCATCTGGATCTGTTCCTGCGGTTCCTGCTGGGCGTCTCACTGGAGTCCAATCAGAGACTCTTACAGGAACTACTGACACACTACAGCAAAAGAGAGACATAGAAATGTACTGTCACGACCGGCTCAAAGCCGTAATAAATGAAAGGAGGACATGCGGTTGGTAAGGTTGCAACAAATTATTTATTAACAAAAGAAATGAAAAATAACTGCCATTTCTGTTTGACACAAGATGTTATAGAGTCAGACAGAACAAGTCTCACAACTCATAACAAAATCCAGAATGGACGGCTGGATCTGTTCCTGCGGTTCATGCTGGGCATCTCACTGGAGTCCAATCAGAGACTCTTACAGGATCTACTGACACACACCGAGAACAGCTCAGAGAGCATCAGGAGAACCACACAGTACATTAAAGAGAAGATCAAAAAAGGACATGGACTCTCCACTGAAAGATCCATCAATCTGTTCCTCTGTCTGCTGGAAGTGAAAGATCAGACTCTGTCCAGAGAGATTCAGGCGTTTGTGAAGTCAGACAAACACTCAGAGAAGAAACTCTCTCCTGCTCACTGCTCAACAATCACCTACATGCTTCAGATGTCAGAGGAGCCGCTGGATGAGCTGGACCTCAAGAAATACAACACATCAGATGAGGGCAGAAGAAGACTGGTACCAGCCGTGATCAACTGCAGAAAAGCTCTGTGAGTGTTGAATTATTAGCAAATGAATACTCGTGTTTAAAGAAGACCTATTATAAGCCATGTTGAGTATGTTTCAGAAATATTATGCTTATTCCTATAACCATGTTAGATCTTTGGTGGAAAAACCACATTGCTGGTCAATTATGGCAAGAATCAAAATTACGATAATTTATAATGTAATCAATACAGATTTCTGTCATAAAACTCTAGATGGCACAGGCTGATCGGTCCGTAACTTGATCTTATTGTAATCACATCATTCACTGTTGGGCATAGCTGATTGGTTTCTGCTGTATCAGTAGCTATTGAGCACGCTGCTTAACATACAAATACTTGGTCAGCATCTTTGTAGCAGTTTACAGTACGCTTTCAGAAGTCCTCTGAAATTCAGCATCTAAGATAAGTGAACATTCTTTTACTCCTTATCTCTATGCTTTATTGCATGCTCTGCATTTTAATTCCTAAACTAGCAACCATATACAGATTTTAAAATCAAGTTCTAAACACCCCTAAGCAGAAGCAGCATGTCTTGCTCACAGCAGCATGTCATGTATGTATTGGCAGAAGCATGTCCCGTACTTGCTCTGCAGCAGCAGAAGCAATAACAGCAGCAGCAGCGTAGCAGATTGAGTGACTGAATGGAATTCAAGCGTAGTTCAGGCAGACCACTAATCGCTACCCTACCCTGACGCTCAACAGAAGTTACAGAAGATCTGTGAATGATTTTCTCTCTTTTGTTGTTTGATTAACATTAATAACACAAACAGCAGCAGGATTATTAGGCTACTGTCACTTTAAGACTAAATGCAGTAATATACTGATACACATTTTATTTTCTCCAAACTGTTTATGTTCAGGCAGACCACTAATCGCTACCCTACCCTGACGCTCAACAGAAGTTACAGAAGATCTGTGAATGATTTTCTCTCTTTTGTTGTTTGATTAACATTAATAACACAGACAGCAGCAGGATTATTAGGCTACTGTCACTTTAAGACTAAATGCAGTAATATACTGATACACATTCTATTTTCTCCAAACTGTTTATGTTCACTTAATATATAACTGACCAGGTTGACGTGAATAATAAACTTAGAGACTTAAAGTGGTGACAGAAGTAAAATAAAGTAGGCGTTGAAGTGCTGTTCTGGAGGCACTGCGATGCAAATATCTACTACAGTGCAACATCACCATGTGGAGGAAGTAGAAAAGAGTCGTTTTGGCAGCTTTGATTCATCTAATGCTCTTTTTTGCAGTGAAGAGGAATGTTTTAGGTCTGAAACTTACAGTATTTGTATAGCATAGTGACCACATACATATCAAAATATCAAGGAAAGCTTCATTGTCATGATCATGTCATGATCCCTCTTGTCATGATCCCTTAACTAAATGCGTTCAACAACCATGAAAGTCCTCAGATGAATCAAAAGTTTTGAGTTACTGTTTAAGAAAATGTTTCTGCTGAGAAGTAGTTTAAGAGACTAAACATGAGAACGGACTAAACTCACTCAGATACATGTGTCAAAATTGATAATATAATTTAAGCAAATGCAGCCAAAGTGGCAAATAATAGGAAACTAAAATGTTTATTAAATGGACATTTATGCAGTAAGAATTTAATGTTAAACAGTAAAACTAAATACACAGATATATGGAGAGGATCTTCTCAGGTTCATAATTCAAACCTCAACAAAACATTGCTTCAAATATTCACACATTGAAAAATGTAGCAAAGAAGCAGTCAAAAGCTCATCTGATCTCTGATCTTAATGAATCTGAATGATAAAATTATCAGGTAATCTCACTGCTCAGTGTTGTGAGAGTTTGTCATCAGCTCTACAGTCCTCAAACTCTGTCCTGACACAGCTGAACCTGAGTAACAATGACCTGCAGGATTCAGGAGTGAAGCTGCTCTCTGATGGACTGAAGAGTCCACTGTCAGCTGCAGATACTAAGGTTTGAATTTCACATTCATTTTTATTAATTTGGTTCAAAAAAATGAACTAATGTCAAGTCACTTTTCACAATCCAGGTATTTTCTAAACTGCTTTACTGAATATTGTTCCTTAATGTTTTAAAGTCAGAGTGAGCAGCCAAAGGTAAAAAAAAAAAAACATTGAGCGGAGTCAGTTGTCTTCTGACATCACAATGAATGTACATCTATGTTAAATATGATCTAGTTACATTGTGTGTTTGTATGTGTGTGTTTGTATGCGTAAGAGATAATTATGTCTATTGAATAAATTATGTTTTCATTCATTTAAACAATGTTTAGTGTAGTTACTAAAGTCCATCCTGAATTGACTAGAGAGATGCAGTCGGCAGTCAGTGACGTGTATCTCACTGTCTGGCTGCTGTAGTTAAGAGTTGTTCAGCAACATGAGGCTGGGGCTGAACAGGAGCTGATACAGCTTCACATGCACTTCTCTCTTCCCAACAACACACTGCTCTGCTCTATTCTGTAGGTTGTCTGGCTGTATGGTGACAGAGGAAGGCTGTGGTTATTTGTCTTCAGCTCTGAGTTCAAACCCCTCACACCAGAGAGAGCTGGATCTGAGCTACAATCACCCAGGACAATCAGGAGTCCAGCTGCTCAAACACAAACTGGAGGATCCAAACTATAAACTGCAGATACTCAAGTATGTCAAACACTAATACTGACATACTGAATGTGTGTGAATGATGCAGATGTACAGTAATGTGTGTTTTTTGTGTTTATAGTGTGGATCATGGAGGAGAGATCATGATGACAGTAGGATCACGAAAGTGTAGGTTTACAAACACAGACACACACACACACACACACTTATCTGTTTTGTTGCTCTGTATGTTCCCTATCGATACTTCATTCATACTGCGTCTGCTAAGACGCTATGGGAAAAAGTCGTTTTTTCTCCTAAACTGAAGACTTTTTAAATAACGCAGTGTAACTGCATGGCCATTGGTTCGTGCAGTATACTTTAAAAACGAACTAATGGCTCGGCAGCGGTGCTGCACAAACCTATGGCCACGAAGCCCGCCAGAATGGGTGGGGCCATCGGCCTATATAAGCGGTCGTTTCACCCGAGGATTCAGATTTCTTCTCCTTCAGCGATAACGACGTTCTTCGCTGATCTACGAGACTCAAAGCCTCTCGCCGTTGAAACGCCTTCACAGAAGGATCAAGCTGAACCAGCGACCCTCTGCTCGGCTGATTCGCAACTTCTCCGCCGCCTTCAGCAGCATCAGTCCCAGCTGATCCCCTGCCACCATCCGGCGAGCCTAAAAGAGCTTATTTTTAAGGAGGTAAGTTCTAAAAGAGCATTTTTCTAGCGACGTTGTTGCAAATGTCACTCTGCAAGTGTGGCTTGTGCAGGCTGCACGAGGCAGAAGGGCAGTGAGTGCATCGCCTGTCTGGGCAGCCCTCACGCAGAGACTGCACGCTCACTGAGACAGAATGCTCTCGCTGAGAGCATGAGTCTTGCTCTTCTCGCACTTTATGAAGGCTGCCCAGCTCTCTCGTTTCTCCTCTCTCAGCAAAGCTTGGAGAGAGAAACAGCAGAGCCATGGGACTGAGCAACCGAGGTTGAGCGATCGCACGCCGGCACAGAACACACATGCTTGCTCTCCCCGCTTCACTTGATCCGCCACGGAAGGGCAGTGAGTTGCGCGCTCACTGAGACAGAATGCTCTCACTGAGAGCATGAGTCTTGCTCTTCTCCACTCGTGGACCGCCTTCAATGAAAGCATCCCCGCTCTCCCATTTCTCCACTCTCAGCAAGGCTCGGAGAGAGAAACAGCGGAGTCAGGGAACTAAGCAACCGGGTCCGAGCGATCTCACGCTGGCACAGAGCCCGCGTGCTCGCTCTCCCCGCTACAATTGATCCGCCGTGCGTCTTACACGTAAAGGATTAGCGCCCCTTGTTACATCGAGCGGCTTAATCCTCCTAGGCGGATTGGAGCAGAACGCGGTCACTGACAGCTTCGCATTTGTGAGTGTGTCGCTGAGGCTGTGCTCACAGAGACGAGCTGCTTTCATTACGAAAGCAGTCTGTCCCTGTTTTGCTCGCGAGAGTCGGCCCCGCCTCCCCCACTCTCACGTTTCTCTCCTCCCAGTTACCTCGGAGGAAGAAACGGCGAACTCGTGGGGATGAGCGATCAGGTTTCAGTGATTTAACGCTGGCAAAGCCCCCGCGTGCTTCACTCTCCATGCAGCTCTTTGATCTGCCAGTGTGTTTACACGTGAGGATCTGCACCTCTCGTTTGTCGAGCGGCTCAATCCTTCTAAGCGGATCGGAGCAGAACGCTGTCACCAATGATTCAATATCACTGAAAGCTTTGTATTTGAATGCGCCTCTCGCCTGGGCCACGCCCACGCTGAGGCTGTGCTCGCTGAGACGGACCGCTCTTACTACAAGAGTTTATGTCTCAATCTGCTTTGCTCGCGGCTCGCCTTCTTCAATGAAGGCGGCCCCTCCCCTCGTCTGCTACGAGCGGATCTGAGAGAATGCGCACAACACTTTTGATCTGCTGGTGTTTACACATAAAGATCATCAGTACCCCTTTTCTAATGAGCCGTTTGATCTTTTAAAGTGGATTAAAGGAGAATGCTGTCACTAGTGATTATTATCACTGACAGCTTCGGATTGGATGCGTCTGGGCCACGCTGAGGCAACCCGTTCAGTTCCGGGTGCCTAAGGCAATATGTTCGTTGTGAACAATGGGCCCGTTCATGCGCCCACACAACTATCCGCTGTGATAGCGGGCAAATGACAAATTTCTATTTCTGTTTATCACGAGTGTGGGGTCCCTGTACAGCGACCAGCCACTCTAATTAATCCAACCCCTTGTCACGCGGGCCGAGGCCTGGCAGGCCATCCCCAGGGTGTCAGAATGGGTTTTGGGGATAATAAAACGAGGTTATTCACTGCAATTCGCTCGATGACCTCCGTTATTCAGCTGCGTGGTTCCCACATGTCCTGCACTCCAAGGTGATGAATTTGCTGGTGAAAGGAGCTATAGAAATGGTTCCCCCAGCTCAGAGCAAGTCAGGCCTCTACAGTCGCTATATTCTTGTCCCCAAAAAGGATGGCGCCCTGCGGCCCATCTTCGATCTCAGATGCCTGAATCGCGCCCTCATGAAACGGCCATTCAGGATGACTACACTGAAGCAGATCCTCTTGCAAATCCGCCCAGAGGACCGGTTCTTTTCTCCGGACTTGAAAGACGCCTGCTTTCACATCCAGATAGCCTTCCACCACAGGCAATTCTTGAGATTCGCCTTCGAGGAAGTGGCTTGTCAATACACGGTCCTTCCCTTTGGACTGTCCCTGGCTCCATGCACTTCACTCTGAAGCAGAAGGGAATTCGCATTCTCAATTACCTCGACTACTGACTCGTTCTGGCCCAGTTGGAGGCAGAGTCACTATCTCACAGAGCCCTCCTCTTCAGCCACTTAGAATGCCTGGGGCTCAGGGTCAATTTTGCCAAGAGTGCACTGTCACCCTGCCAACGTATCGTTCGAGTATTGTTCCTGGGAACAGTGTTCGAATCAACCCAAATTGAGAGCGGTGGTCGCGACAGAGTATGCTCTGGTCAGCTCGCGGCTTCCTTCAAGATCGGTGCCCCTCGCTCCCTCAAGTCGTTTCAAAAGATGCTGGGCCTTATGGCCACAGCGTCTCCAGTGCTACAGTTGGGCCTGCTTCGTATGTGTCCCCTTCAGTACTGGCTGAAACCGCAGGTTCCATCACATGCGTGGCATCACAGATGCCTACTTATAAGGGTATACCAGGCCCGTGTAACAGCCCTGACCCCTTGGAAGAATGCTCAGTGGATGGAACAGGGCGTCCCCCTGGGAATGGTCTGCAGGAGAAAGATGGTTTCGACAAATGCTTCCAACATGGGTTGGGGAGCTCTGTGCAAAGGAAAACCGGCTTTCGGCCACTGGTCGAAAGCGGAGGAAGGTCTTCACATCAACTGCCTCGAAATGCTGGCGGTATGTCGGGCCTGTCAAACCTTCCTACCGGACCTGAGGGGACACCACGTTCTGGTCCGCTGGGACAGCATGACTGTGGTGTCCTACGCAAATCGCCAGGGAGGGGAGAAAATCGCTTCCTTGAGGCGCCTCCTTGTGCTGGTCGAGCAGCTCCTGGAATAGGCTCAGTTCAACCTACGCTCGCTGAGAGCAGTGCACGTTCCGGGCAAACTGAACCAAGGAGCGGACATGTTGTCACGAAGCAAAGCCCCCTCACAAGAGTGGTTGCTTCATCCGCAGACGGTTCAAAAAATTTGGGAGATCTTTGGCAAGGCGGAAGTGGACTTCTTCGCCTCAAAAGACAACTCTCACTGCCCAATTTATTATTCCAGGGACAAGGACGCGTTGGCCCACAACTGGCCCAGCCCCCTTCTCTATGCTTTTCTCCCGATCGCCCTGATCCCGTAGGTAATAAGTCGAATCAGGGAACAAGAACGCAAGGTTCTCCTGGTGGCCCTGCACTGGAGAAACCAGCATTGGTTATCAGAGCTGTCGCAGCTGTTCATAGCAGCCCCATGGCCCATTCCCCTGAGGCAGGATCTCTCTCAGGCGAACAGGACGATATGGCACCCCCAGCCCGATCTGTGGGCTCTCCATCTTTGGCCATTCGATGGGAGCCTGCAAGGCTAGAGCTTTCTCAGGCTAGAGCTCCATCTACAAGATGCCTCTACTCCCTCAAATGGTCGGTGTTCTCCACCTGGTGCTCAACCCGCGGCAAGGGCCTGTCAGTCTGTGACGTATCGGTGATATTGTCCTTTCTGCAGGAGCTGTTGGATAAGGGGCACTCCCCCATCCACGCTCAAGGCCCTATAGCAGGCCAGTCGGTGGGCAGGAACAACCTTGTTGTCCATTTTCTGAGGGGGGGCTAGGAGGCTGAATCCACCCCTTCCCCTCACTGTCCCTACGTGGGAACTGCCCACTGTTCCGAGGGACCTGAAAGGCCCTCCCTTTGAGCTGCTGCAGTCTGTAGACCTTCGGTCCCTGTCATTAAAAACCGTTCTGCTGCTAGCAGTAGCATTGGTCAAACGAATGGAAGATTTACAGGTGCACTCTGTGAGCCCTACCTATCTGGAGTTCGGGCCTGGCGACTCTATAATTTCGTCCTGAAACTGAGGCATGTTTATATACCTAAGGTGCTCTCTACTCCATTCAGGGAACAGGTCATTACACTCTCTGCGCTTCCTCTCTCAGAAGAGGACCAGGAGTTGAACTTACCTTGTCCAGTCAGGGCGCTGAAAGTTTACATTGAGTGTTCCGCCCAGTTTAGAACAGCTCTTTGTTTGCATCGGTGGCCGCGCTAATGGGCATCCGGTCACGAAGCAGAGACTTCCTAAGTGGATAGTTGAAGCTATTACACTAGCTAACTCTTCCTTGGGCATGTAATGCCCCATTGGAGTACGAGCCCATTCAACTAGAGATGTCGCCTCTTCTTGGGCGTGGTCTAACGGCGAGTCCATTGCGGAAATTTGTGCGGCGGCCGGTTGAGCCTCGCCATCCACATTTGCTAGGTTTTACAACCTGGACGTCCCTACCTTACAGGCTAGGGTTCTTTCTGCATAACTGACACGCACTTACATGTTCAAACGCTCAGAGGATTTACTTGTGCGCTCTCGGCCCTCATGGGTGCCGGGGCTGTGCAAGTCTCCTGGAATGATCACTCAGGCCGGGCGTAACCTCTGTGAGCTTAGCCCGTTCGCCTTGGGAGGTGTTTGCTATTCTTGTCCCCTTGGGCCCTGAAGTGCCTAGGATCAAGGGTACACATGTAGTCGTTCCTCTGCCAATAGCACGGCGTGATTGTACTGGTTCCCATAGCGTCTTAGCAGACGCAATACGAGTAAAGTATCGATAGGGAACATACTCGGTTACAAGCGTAACCTTGGTTCCCTGAGATACGGGAACGCGTACTGCATTGCTAGCCGTGCTATGCAGCTGCACGACTCAGTCGTGCAGTAACCTGACCTTTGCCCTAACCTAGGGCAAGCGGCCGCTTATATAGCCAGATGGCCCCACCCATTCTGGCGGGCTTCTTGGCTATTGGTTCGTTTTGAAAGTATACTGCACGAACCGATGGCCGTGCAGTTACACTGCGTTATTAAAAAAGGCTTCAGTTTAGGAGAAAAAATTACTTTTCCCCATAGCGTCTTAGCAGATGCATTACTCATTCCCGTATCTCAGGGAACCCAGGTTACGTTTGTAACGGAGTACGTTTCTCTCTTCTTGTGTTCAGATGCCTGTGATCTCACACTGGATCCAAACACAGCAAACACTCGTCTCATTCTGTCTGATGAGAACAGGAAGATCACATGTGTGAAAGATCATCAGCCGTATCCTGATTATCCAGAGAGATTTGATGAGTGTCATCAGGTTCTGTGTGTTGAGAGTCTGACTGGACGCTGTTACTGGGAGGCTGAATGGAGTGGACGTGTAAAAATATCAGTGTCATATAAAGGAATCAGCAGGAAAGGAGGGACTGATGACTGTTGGTTTGGATCCAGTGACAAATCCTGGAGTCTGTACTGCTCTGATAACAGATTCACTGTCCGTCACAATAACAACAGAACTGTTATACCTGCCATCCGTTCATCCTCTAATAGAGCAGGAGTGTATGTGGACGTGTCGGCCGGCACTCTGTCCTTCTACAGCGTCTCTGACACACACATAGTCACACACTTACACACATTCAACACTACATTCACTGAACCCCTCTGTGCTGGATTTAGGGTTTATCCTGATTCCTCATTGTCTCTGTGTGATTAAACAATAGAGAGACTCTCTGTAAATCCTTTCTGATGTTCACATGCACACAAACCCATCAAATCTCACGTCATTACATTTGTATTAAAAAGAAAAGTTCACAAATAAAATGTTATTTAAATGTTACTGCTGTGAGTTATTATTTTAATAAATGCAAAATGCTTAAAAACACTAACTTGATTAGATTAATACATAGCTTTAATAAATAGAATATTGATTACTGTCACACAACAGAAGAGGACAGAAAGGTAAGTGACATATAAACAGAAGTTTATTGAACGGCTGACACAGCACAGGAACGAGAATGAAGTAACGGTAAGTATGGCAGTTCAATGGAAATGGATATGACTTCGCTGAATGGTAACTGAATGTCTTTCTTACAGATGTAGGAACGAACACACGGACGGCAGGTAGTAGATGACTGAAGACAGAATCCTGGACGGTACGTGATATATACAGGTGAGTAGCAGGTAAGGTCTCTGTAGTGTAGGAACGACGAGACCAGACAAAGGAGTGCAGGTTGTGTGTGTCTTTATAGTGAGTGTTGATGAGGAGGTGCAGGTGTGGTGAATCAGAATCCTGGGGAGAGTGAACGAGTGGGCGGATGTAGTGTTTGACAAAAACACAATTTTCTCAGATTTTTGTTCCGAATATTGCTTTTTTTATTAAACTTGCACATATTCAAGTGTTGATAAAAAATAATGAAGTCAAATTTTTTTTTTTTTAAGCAGAGGCTTTTTCATGGAAAAATTTTCATGAAAATTATTATTTTTTTAAATGCTGGTGGTGG